GAGAGACAACAGCGGCACCCACACTAAAGTTACTGTCATGAGCAGGCAAAGGTGTCTGTCTCTATGATATGGATGGAATGGAACAAGGCCTGCAATCACATAGTGCTTGCCCGTTCACCCAGTGTTTTATAACAGCAAAGGGGAGAAAACGGTAAAGATAAAATTCCAGGGAAACTGTACAAATGAAACATAGTTTAGAAGAAAGTAGCTTGGAAATACTGGGGGTTGGTTAGCATCATGGATGCATGTGGTATATACACTGGTGTGGGAGTGGGAAGAGACAAGGTGCCATTCAGCTTATAGTAGTTAGGAACCATTAGCCAATCTGGCTTTATAATTGCTGACTGTGTGATCTTGAGTAACTAGAGCTTGACCTCTCTGAGCCTCAGGTTTCCCATCTGCAATATGGAAGTAATAGAAATAGCTAAACTTTTTGAGTTGTGGTGAGAATTAAATAAAATGATACATGCCAAAGTTCCCACCTAGTACACAGTATAATAAATGAATTGCAAAGTTACCTTAAAGTGCCTATCCTGGTACTTTACATGTACCAGGTAATCAGTAAATGCTTATTCCTTGGTTTTCCCATCTTTCTTCCTAATACAAATAACTCAAAAGACTTAATTCTGCTATTATGTACTTACTGTAATTTTTCAAAATATTAATGAATTAATTCACTAAAATTGTACTGAGCTTGAGTTGATGTTAGAGTAGATACAAAGATAAAGTGTCAATGGATAAAAAAGACAAAAGTATGTACTCATTGAAAGCACAAAAATATGTAACATTAACATTTATATTAATACAAATATATTCTATACATATATTTTCACATATACATGTAAGGATACCTTTCTATTTATCAAATTTCTGTGGGTTGAGAACACAGATATTTTCAATTTTTAAATGTTTATTTATAGGTCAAATTTTCTGCTATAGACATGTATTCTTATGTATTTTGAGGAAAAGGTATTGCTTTTCAAAAGATAAAAGAGGTAAGAACAATCCAATTTCTAAATTCTTGAATTGGTTTTCTAACAGTTGATAATTTTGCAACTATGTAAATGGCAACAAATCTGTAAGAAATAAAACTTTTTCTAAACATTTCATTAACCTCACCTCTATGACCTTAATAAGTTACTCTTCACTATTTTTCCTCCTCCCTAACTTCCTCTTCTCACCAGTTATAAGTTCTTCCCTTGGTTTCTCTTCTTTGTAATATCTCACAGGAGGCATCTTTAAATCTCCCATGGATGTGACTGAAAATCTACATGTGAGTTGGGAACACAAAAATAAATAACCCAGTAAGAATCATGACCACTGGGCTGGCTGGCCTCCTTCATGGAGGCTCTGTGAAGTGGTGTTTGCTAAACAGTTTTTCCTTTTTGGTTGGCTGGCCTCAATCAGCTCTGTGAATTCGAAGACTTATGATAAGCAATGACACACTTAACTGTTACATATTAATGTTCATGATAATGCAATCTTTCATTTGGGTGATTTAAAAGTCCCTCTAGTCCGACTTACAGTTAGACACACACTGAATGCTTCATCAATCATAGCCATTTTTATTCTCAGTCTTGTGCAAAAATACTAGAGAAAGTGAATTTCAACTACACACTGAAGAGAGCTTTACGATTAGCCCTGAACATTTTCTCTCTTGTCATTTATACATTGGATTCCCACAGTTTCTGCCTAAACAATCTTCACCTGCATCTTCCACTATGGCAGAGCTTATCTACAGAATAACAGGAAAACCACATTCCTATCTCTTCTATAGGGTCAAATCTCCCATGTCTTATAGAGAGAAGAAAGCATTTCTTAGCGATGAATTAGACAAAATGCCCAGCATCTCCACATCTGAAACCCTTGTGAGCATCAGCTTGAGAAACTCACAGCAACTTAGGCTGAACTTGAAAGGGGAATTAGACCTAACTCACACTGAGAACCAATGAGCCCGCTGGGGTTAAACAGTACATCAGTGATCACGTCTACATCTAATAAATGCTCTTGAAAGAAACTACACTCCTCTTCATTCCTGCAAGGGCTTGTCACAGTTTCGTGACCAAAATCTTCCTACAATTAACTATGGACCTAAAGATGATAAGGCAAATCAAATGGTAGGTAAAAATCAAACTAGGCACTGTCCGACATGGCTCATAGATCCTACCACACCTGCAACAAGCTCTTAAATCAGAAGCCCAAGAGTTTTTTAGGTAAGTACATATTAGCCCCTTAACATCTTGCATCATCCTCATGTGCAACAAACAAATAAATGCAACCACAAACATCTAAGATCTGCTCCCAAAAATGTTTTCCTTGGGGCAGGGGAGAATTAGCCTATCCCTTTAAAATTGTGTTTTGTTTTGTTTTACAATATCTAACATATATTCAATATTTAAATTTAGATTTTATAATCTTTCTTCACTTTTATGCTCTTGAATTTGCCATCCTAACAATTTCCTTTTAGGCTAATAAACTTATTTTTTATTCCTGTGTCATTTATAGGTTGATCTCTTGAGGCAAGGAAACACTGAATTATTGGAACTTAGTGTAGAGATGCTTTCAAGGTAAAGGTTCTCTGTTTATTAGCAGAAGAAATGCATTCAACTAATTTGACTTATAAGTCTGATAAAATTTCCTTGGAAAAACTGATTCTATTTTGATGAATAATCCTTTGAGGTGAAAAATGAGAAATTTGAGCCCTGGCTGGCTGGCATAGCTCAGTGGACTGAGCATGGGCTGTGAACCAAAGCATCGCAGGTTCGATTCCCAGTCAGGGCACATGCCTGGGTTGCCGGCCAGGTCCCCAGTGGGGGTCACATGAGAGGCAACCACACATTGATGTTTCTCTCTCTCTCTTTCTCCCTCCCTTCCTGTCTCTAAAAATAAATAAATAAAATATTTTAAAAAATGAGGAATTTACACACTGGGTTTTATTATATACTAATTCTAACAGGGTCTGAAATGAAACTCAAGTAACCCATCTTTTAGATGATGGAAAATCTAAACTTTTCCACAAACTTCATGCAAGAAGTAATTAAAGTAATTGAACATGAAATTAAGCAGCACCCCCATAAAGTAGGATATAAAAGTAAATATTACAGGAAAAAAGTTGTCTTCTTGCTCTATATTAATCTCACGAATTGTGCACTTACTCTATTTCTTTTATTATTCAATGATGGGGTTTTAGAACTCAGGTTTTATTAAGACTTGTTGGAGAAAAGACTTCCGTTGTAAGCTAGCTACAGGTCTAGGTATGTTATTACATCTTTCCCAGTGACTAAAATATTAGATAAAGCCAAGCATGGTGAGAGTAGGCTCATCACAAAACTGAAACTTTTCCTAATACCATCAATGACAGAGTCAAGATGCTGGTCAGAAAGAAGGGCTAAAGCTACAAAAGGTGTACTTCATTTACAGAGCAAAACTCTGCACCTCTTTTTAATAAACTCTGCTATTCATATAGAATTCAGGAACATCTAGGATTTGTTGAATTTGGCTGGCTATCCAGAATCTATTCTCAGTTCAATTTCCTTTGGAGAATTACCTCAACCCACCTGACCCCTCACTGTTGCAAGCAGGGTGGGATTCCTCAATGAAGGTCCCCAGTATTCTTAAAGCCATGGGGTAGATACAGGATATACACTAGGCCTGTCTGATTCATCTCAGCAGACTGATGTGAGGACAGAAAAATGTGTGGGGACTAGTGATTTCAGCAGTGATAGCGATGAGCTGGTCACATCATTCAAGCTGCCAAGATACTGGAATAGTCCTGCTTCCTATCCTTTCCCAAATTTCCATGCATTCTGTGAGCTACAAGCCATTCCTTCAATAAATCCTTTTCCTTTAAGATGGTCAGGGTTGGTTGCAACTAAAAAACCTTAACCAACATGATAGGGAGATCCTTGCTTGACCTTGGTTCACAGAGGGAAGCTAAGCTTATTGAACCCATGCTCAGTATCACTCATACTATGTGGTATTGTGGTCCTATGATATATATGGCTACTCCTAAATTCAATACAAAATTTTGGCCAATGGTCATTTAAAAAAGACCAGTGTTCAAATCTGCAAATAAGAAATCTTCCTTCCAGTTTTTTTTTGTTTGTTTTTGGTTTATTTAATTATTATTTTAAAACTTTATTTTAATTGTTGTTCAAGTACAGTTTTCTGTCCTTTACTCATCCCTCCCCACCTCCCTCCCTTTCCACCCTCCCTAGTTTTTGTCCATGTGTCCTTTATATTTGTTCCTGTAAACCCTTCCCATTCTCCCCTGAAATACCCAATGGGGGCCCTGGCCAGATAGCTTAGCTGGTTAGATCATCACCCCAATACGCCAAGGTTGCCGGTTCAATTTCTGGTCAGGACACATACAAGAAGCAACCAGTGAGTGCATAAATAAGTGGAACAACAAATCAATGTTTCTCTCTCTCTCTAGTCAATCAATCAATAAAAAAGTAATAAAAATTAAAAATACAGAATGGGTAAAAGAGGTGGTGGGTTCAAAGAGAAAGCTTCCAAGATGAGAGAAGATGAAAAAATTGAGTCATGTGAGTATTAACTGAAGAGACGTGCATCCTTAATATTGACTTCAAGGAGCCATAGCAATCAGTACTGTGTGTTTCTGAGGTATCATAATCATGGTGAAAAGAAGGTGGGCATTAGAGTCAGGCAGCACTGAGTGCAATGTCTTGACCTTCTACTTAGCAGCTATGTGATTCTGTTCAAGTTACATAATCTTCCTGGACCTCAGTTTTCTCATCTGTAAGCTGGATAATAATCATAACTGCAACTCATAAATTCATCAGCAGGAGCCAAGTTGAATACACACACACACACACACACACACACACACACACACACACACGAAGGAAGTATCTAGCAGCCTTGATGCTCAGCAGGCCCTTAACAAAATAATTACTATGCTAAACAAATCTGTGGAGCACCCACTCTCTACCTAGTGTGCTCTGAGACATACTGAAATGAATTACATAGGTTCTTACCTTCAGGCAAGAATATGTGGCTTTCAAATCTGAAAAGAACAAAATAAAATAGAAAGCAGATCTGAACAAAGGTTATAATGAAATACAAACACACACTTGTGGAAGCCCAGACAAAGGAGTGAGTCACATAGGCTTCACAGAAGTGATATGTGAGCCAAGCCTTGAAGGATGAGTAAGATGTTATTACATATGGGGGTGCAGAGAGGCAGATTGGCATCTAAAGCTGAAGGAGGCAGTCCCACAGCTGCACAAGTTCAAGGACAGGACAGAAAAGGAAAGAATCAGTGGTCTGATATAAGCTCCACAAAGCCAAGGACCAAGTGGAATGATCACTCCTGTGTCTATCCTGAACTTCTAGGACAGTGCCAGTCCCACAAAAGGCACCCAGTGGTTATTCTGTGAAAATCTCAACTAGAAGAACAGAAGACAGAATGGGGCCTGGGAACGAAGAATTAGAAGGCCATGCTGAGAAGCCAAGTCTCCATCCTACATCTGGAAAGGCAATGAAAGAAGGCCAGAGAGCAGTAAAGACACTTTAGAGATTAAATAAACAGGGCTTGGCAACGGGAAGAATGTGGGAGGGGAATGGAGGGAAAGGGGGAGCTCTGATTAGAAGTCTGGAAATTTTTTTGAATTGAAATGGTTCAGTGTCTAAAACTATCACTGATAACATCCATGAATTTTGACCACTGAAAACCTTTTCAGACAACAGCCCTGTCTGAACTGCCTCATGAGAGAATATGGCATTCAAAGGCTTCCAGGAGAAACTGGAAGAGTCCAGGCATTCAGCCCTGGCTTAAAGATATACCACTGTGTGACACTGTGGATGCTACCTCACCTCCCTGTATCCTAGCTTTATTATCTATAAAATGGGGCCCAGAGCAGTGTATTTTAATAAGGTTGTTAGGAGGACTAAAAAGAGAAGATATACATAAAGGATCCAGAATGGCTCCTGACACATGCAAAGTGCTGCATAAATGTGACCTGCTAGTATTCCTATTGTTCTTCATCTTCCTATTATCTATTATATACACTAGGCCTGTCTGATTAATCTCAGCAGACTGATGTTGATGTGAGGACAGAACAATGTGTGGGGACTAGTGATTTCGGCAGTGACAGAGACGAGCTGGTCACATCATTCAAGCTGCCAAGATACTGGAATTGTCCTGCTTCCTATCCTTTCCCAAACTTCCATGCATTCTGTGAAGGAGGGTGAAGAATGAGCCCCAAGGTCCCACATGACTAAATTCCCAATTCAGTGATCTTATGTTGAAAGAAAACTGAACCCTAACCACATCCAATAAAAGGTGTTGACTCTAGTCAACTAACAATTTTCTACGGATGGACTAGATGGTTTGTGGACAGCTTTTTCATTAAAAAAAAACCTACAGATTAATAAAATATCTAAATATGGGAAGGCATCTATCACAGAACCATGTGCTAACCAACAGACACTGTGGGAAGTACTTCACAGTATGGACTCAGCCTGCTAGTTATGTTTGAAGCCCGTCAGGACAAGCAACTTGGAATAGGGGGTGGAGGGAGTCCTGCTAGAGGCTCAGGATGCACCCAGGTAGGCAGAGAAGGTGGAAGGCTAGGTGAAGGAGAAGCAACAGGGAACTAACTAGGGACACTTTCTAATGGTTATAGAAAGTAGAGGGGATACAGAGAAGAAATTAGCACACCATGCTTTCTCTTGTGGTTTTAAGCAGGGTGCCCTGTTGGCTATGTTTAGTCAAATAAATTTATTTGATGGTTCATTTTTCAACTACTATACATGTTTGTGTTTTGCAGTTTTAGATAGTCTGTTAAGCATTCCTAAATACTATATGTAATTCTAACTTATTTTTGTTTAATATTTGGAACAATTTTTAACCCACTATTTGGGGTGGAAATAAAACTAAAACTCAAAGTGAAAGAGCACAATTTCAAGGCAAAATAATTACAATATGACACGAAATTTGGGTATGGCCTGCATGGGTGGTTAGGATAAAAAGACTCTTGAGAATTGAGAATCAAAATTACAATTTGGTTGATTTCCTTAATTTCCATACTGAAAATATAAACAAGGATGTGCTTTATTGTAGAAACCTGACACTGAGTAGCATCTGTGGGTAACCTTAAATTTGAAATGAAGTCTGCCCCTCACCTGTCAGAATGTGTCTCAGAGAAAGCCCCACTGGCGATGTGGCCCTGTGACCATTGTCAGGGGCTCTAACCTACTAGAGGAAGGAAGGACCTTCATAGGATCAAGTGTAACTAGCCTCCACCTTCCTATCTGTTAACTAACAGAGGAGAACAGACATTACGGATTACAGGCAAAATTTGAATTAGAATTCAGGTATATCACCATCTGCCCTTCTGCTAAGCACACACTGCTAATAAATTTTGGAAACTGTTAAACCACTAACAGCATTTCCTTCTTTTGGGCACCCTTTAAAACTAAAGGAGCAGGAGCTTCCCTGCTACGTTAAGGTAGAACAGAAAGAGCCCTGAAAATAAGTATAGACCAAGATAAGAGGGTAAGGTATTATACAACCTTTCGTTTATACTTTTTAAAGTAATACAGGTCCTTTGCAAAGCTGCCATATAGTCATGGTAATTATCTTAAGCACATTAAGTTTTAGTCTTATTCTATATTTAATAAGCCTATATGAATAATGTCACTTTTAGTAAATTATCACTGTTCATAACACAATAGAAAATACATTAATAAAAATTCTTAGTTGTTTTTTAAACTGTAATTTCCAGTTCTGCAATCTGAAAGTAAGACTAATTCTTGTACTTTCATATATTAGGAAAACATAAAAATGAACATGGTAAATCACATAAAAACACTTTTATTTAACAATTAGACCAAAATATGAAAATAGAATTTACATTTCCTAAGATCTGATGTAACGCTGTGATTAATATGGCATTCTTCCCCTTTATTGAACTCTGACATATACACACCCTCTATTAAAGAAACACAGAATAGCAAGACAGGTTACAGGCTCTGTAGACATTAAAGCTATGTTACTGAGAAGCAGTCTAGAATGACTGTAAAAATATTCACAGACTACAAGATGACTTTACCTCTTGGAGGCTTGCTTTACTGTCCAAGCAAGAAATACTAATGCTGTTATCAGGGAACACAGGCAGAAAGATTTTCCATCATGAACTACTTTAACTTGGATCATCACAAGTTCAAAATAAACCCCAAATGCAGAGTCTATAGAATATTCATTTCTCAATAAGAAGGTACACAAGTTACCTGGAGATATACTTTTGGATCTGCCCTTTACCCAAGTCCTGATTATTATTATCATTTATTAACTCAGTCATCTACTGGTTCACTCAACAAATAGTATTTGTCAAATCCCTACTGTATCACAGACATTGAATACTAAGACTAAGAAATTGATATGAGCCCAGCCTGCACAGTAACTTTGGGGTAAGGAAAAGAGAGTTGGGATATACCTGCCACACCTAGAAATAAATAAGCAATATAATTTTTATACTCATGGTTTGCTTCCAACATCAAATTTATATAGAAAAGAAAGAGGCTGTCCTTTAAAAGAAAAAAAAAAGTCAGCAAATCAAAAGCATCATTAATCACTGTCTCTTTTAAATTAAAATGTTCACAAAAAAGGTGGGCACAAAACCAATGTGGGAAACAAATCACTCCCCTTGCTGAGTGAGGGTCAGACTCTAAATGGGAGAGTCCTCACTATTTTCCCAGCTCATCTCCTGTGTAATGGATTCAGAGAAGAGATTTCCGCTAGGGCTCTGATAATTTGAGGCTTGGCTTATGCTCTTTAAAAATGACACTTGGGTGGTTACTCTAGTATTGTGACTGGTGTGAGAAATAAACCTTCTAAGCAATCTCTCAGTAAGGTCTGGCTTTCCTGATTTGACCTAGTAAATCTTGAGTTTCATTACTGACTTTTTGGGAGTCCTCAAGATTCCATTTGCAAAATGGCCATCCCTTGTAAAGCAAATGTAAAACATGCCCATGGACCTGAGAAAGGATTTCTGACAGTGTCTGAAAGAGTTAATGAAACCCCAAAAGAGACTCATTTAAAATCAGCAATATTCAGCAAGGAGCATTTGGGGTCAGTGTTTCTCACTCTCCTGTTCTTGAGAATACTTCTATCCACACCATAGTTTAGAATAGGTCAGGGTACAGAGAGATAAAGCACTGAGGTTTTCTGCTGTGTATACAGCATGGAGGGAACTCAGCCTTTGACAGACTCAGAGTTTCCCTCATGTGAAATATCAGCCCAAAGAAATTTAAATATGTTTAAAAACTAAAATAAACCACCTAAACCTAGTCTATGCTATGCCATGAAAGCTGGGAATTTCAATAGCTACTGAGAGGATGTAACCATAGTATTTGAGGAATTGGATTTTAATGGTTCTACTGCTGTCTACTACGAACTGTGCTGTCTAATCAGGCAAGGTCCTATTTTTAAAAGTTCACACTCTTGTGGAATGCCTATGACAACAGAGAGACACTCCTGCATCAATCTTTCCTCATACTTTGTATTAGTCATAAAGTTTATATTCATTATTCCTTTATTTTCTTGTTTTTTATAAATATATCTGTCTTAGAAAGAGCAAGTGAAGATAAAAACATAAGTTGTACATTCATAGTAGTCGTAATGATGACATGCAGCATTTATTGAGTGTTTGCCATGTGCTACACCATGCTAAATGCCTCACTTACCTTCTCACATGACTCCTGTCAACTGCAGAGTAGGTACTACTCTAGTTTCCCATTTTAAAGCTGAGAAAACTGAGGTCAATGTCATAAAAACAGTGAGTAAAATAGCTGCAATTTGAAACTGCCAAGTAGGCAATTAACCAGTACCTCTTGCTAATACAAAACTAACCCTAAATGGAAAGTAGTTGGTGGGAGAAGTGGAGAAGGTGGAAAATTTTAAAACTACAGCACGATACAGCTGATATACTCAATGGTGAAAAACTGAAAGCTTTTCCTCTAAGATCATGAACAAGACAAGGATGCTCACTCTGACCATTTCTA